AAAAATCCGAAATAATTTTTAAAAATTAAAATATATTTATAATTTTAAAATGAGAATATAACCCTAGATTGAATACGTTTGATATATTTGAACCACCCTAAATATAAAATATATATTATATTCTTTTGAAATATTTCAACCATTGAATTTTCTTTAAGTATAATATCTCAATCAACCACCCGCGAGTGTCGGATAGTTGAATAGAAATTCTTATATATTCTTAAGGATTTAATTTAATTTTCTTCTATTGCTAATGGAGATGACTATTGAAGATATATTTGTCCTTTAACTTATGGACACCCTGATCACCAAAAAAAAAAAAAAAAACAATTAACAATTATTACAAAATTGATTAACTAAATACACTACTTACTTCTAATAAGGGAATGAGTGTTATAACAGGTTTAACAAATACACCCTGAAACATCAAAAACACTTGCCGTCACTTTTTTCCGACACAACAATACACCCACCCCTGCCACTAGTTTTCGCTGTTAAATTAGATAGCAAATCTAACCCTGTTTTTTTTTTTTTTCAAAGATAAATATTGTTTGTGAAATAAAATAATTTCTTAAAAATGTCTAAAGAATAAAATAAAATACAGAAAATATTTTTCATTTGATGTCAGTTCAATTTTTTTTTTATATAATATAAGTTATATATAAATTATAAGAATAAAAAAAATTAGATTACACTAAAAAAATGTTAATCTAGATGTCAATTCTAATAATTTTATATACTAATATTGGTAATATATAACAGTAAAACCTCTCTAATTTATAATGGTAGAATCAAATTAATTTATTACTATAAAAAGGTTATAACTTAATAGATGTGTAATACAAAAATTATGGCTCCGTTCATTATATGATAGATTTTAGAATAATCTTTTGAAAAAAGTTAAATTGGGTGGGTATTATGATGTGGATTTGGAAATTAACAAAATATCTTCTATGTTTGTTTATTTACTAAACACCCCTATAATAAATATTAAAAGTCAACAAAATACCCCTAACCCACCCATTAATACGACAGCCGCCACCGTTGCAGAGGTGGCCAAGTGTTTTTGTAATTTCAAAAAAATATTTGGGGGTGTTTGTTAATTTATAATTTAGGAGGTTTAAAAAGAATGTAAAAATAGTAATATTTGGGAATAATGACATTTTACTGTTTAACTTTTTTGAATACTAATAATAGTTACCCAAATGAAACAAACGGAGCCTAACTCCTCCCTTCCCCCTCTCCCCCCCCCCCCACCCCACTTATCACACAACTATTATTCTCTTACGTGTAGGTAGCATTCTAAAATCCAGTCGGTGTGTAGGCATATTAGAAATTTCAAGGTTATTATCGAATGCATTATCACACACTTTTGAAATATAGAAGATCATATATTGGAATCATAAAAAATAAGTATCTTTGTGAATTGTAAATGCAGTTGCCACATAGTCATTGATTAACTAGACAATTGCCAATTGTTTAAGCACTGCAAAATTAGAACCCCAATGTCAATAAATTGTAAATTACAATGAAGTGGATAAGGAGAATAAAATAGTCACTACAGAATTGAGTGATCAAATTCGACAACTCACACTAATCAAATGGATATTTGTTTCCTCAATCATCCAATAAGCAATAAATCGTGTATGCTTTAATTGAAGAAAATCTTGCTAACATTAGACAATAAGAAAATGAAATAATCTTAAGGATGATAGTACAGAAATACAAAAAGTTTGAGCCATGAAGCTCTAAAATACTTGAGAAGTTAGAAATATTTTGCATCAACAAGAAAGTGTTCGCTATCGAGATATTACATACCCCAAGTTAGAAATGTGGTACAACTCTAAAACATAATCATTATTCCAAATAATTTTAAAATGTTTTATTTCATCTAAACCTTTAATGTACAAACATATATATATATATTATATATTATTTTTTTTTTTTGTAATATACAGATAATTATTATATGTGAATACAACTTTCCTTAGGACGGAGATTAGAAAAATTATAAGTTATTGTAATGTTAATTTATTCTTATTTATAACTATCCTAGATTAATACTAAATTTTTTATGATTATATAGAGTTTATTCTTATATAGATATCACTATAGAGAGGTTTTACTGTATAAAATCAAATTACATCAAAAAAATTTCAGTTTCCTTGTATTACAATTCTTTTTAATAAAATTGTCCAATTATAATTATTCTTCGAAGCAATAGAAATAACCAAATTTAAATCTTGAATAATATTCTTTGCCACTAAGGTTACTAATCTATCATTTTGATGCAAATAGAAAGTACAACCACAAAGGTAAATGGTAGAATAATCACACCATAAGGATAACACTAGTGACAATCTAATGTCTAATGCCTCTTCTAAAGCCTCATCATACATGAAATACATCCAGTTAATAAAAGATTAGCTAGACTAAATTGCTCAATCACACGCTAATTAGAAGCGCGTAATGCCGATAAAATAATCGCTTATAATCATCACTTCCCCCGCAATGAGAAGAAGAAATTCATTAATAGCAAACGAAGCAAGAGAAGTGAAAGTTGTTCCACTTTTACTACGTGTTCATCCAGAGTTATGTTGTCTCCTTTGAGAAGAATTCTTCCTGCAAAAGTAAAGAAAGAATTTAGAGTATCGGCATCGGATTAGAGGATTAAAGAAAAGCGAGAAAATAATCATCTATGACTTTCTGGTCTTTTTCTTGAGGTGGACTTCTTCAGCATCATCCAGAACCAGTTCATGTACTCATCAAACCCTGTAAAACCGAAATGAATAACAAAAACTAATCACATTTTGAACGAACTGAGAAATATTAAATGCTTACAACGAAGGTGTTTCTATAATAAATAATATCATTTTGTCTTAACTTATTTTACTTATTTTGGGAAAAGTTGAAGGAAAAGTTTAAAGCATGATCCATACTGCAACGAAAGCAAGAAAAACAACAAAAGACTGGCGGCATAATGAATTGAATGGATAAAGATTTCTTATCTAAGACACGGTCATCGCTAAAGCAATTGGAATGTATTATACATTTGAAAGCCAAATATCACATGTTCCTAGAAATGTATCCTTAGGGTTACTTTGCTTCAAGGAGTTCATTTCCTGCAAGTTACATGGTTATATGTGATTCATGCTACAAAACCGATTAACCGAACCGGTTTTTTGGTTCAATTTTCTTGAACTGAAACTAAATCGGTTAAGGGGAAAACCGATTTTTCGATTAACCGAACCGATTTTGTGAACCGAACCGGTTTTCAGTTCAATTTTCTTAAATCGAAACAAAATCGATTAATTGGAAAACCGATTTTTCGATTAACCGAAAAACCGGTTAAGCATTAGTAAAAACCGGTTTTAATTTAGTATTTTATATATTTTTTAATTTAAAATTTTTTATAATAAACCAGATTTTTTTTAATTTTATATTTTTATAATAAACCGCTTTATAAAACCGGTTTCAGTTAACCGGTTCTCATATTCTCGCTAACCGTTGACCGAACTGGAAAATTGGTTTTTGTATTTCTTTAAACTGAAATTGAACTGATTTTTTGGATAATCGGAAAACCGGTTTGGTTACTGGTTTGGTTTGGTTTTTGCATTTTTTTTAACACCCCTAATTCATGCCCCTTTAAAACCTCAGTTCAAGTCACATGCATAACAACATGCCCTCTCTTATAGGGGGAAGAAATGTTCACAAAGAGACAAGATAAGAAGAGATAATTAAAAATTGGCTGACCGGCTCATTACAAATGAAGAAACTGCATTTTGTATCTGTCCTTGATCTTGTGTAAACAAATTGCTCTGACCTTAAGTAGAAGATTATCTTATGAAATAACTTTGATTAAGTATGGCTTATAGGTTATCATATCACATATCCGACTAGCCCAACAAAAAATAAATAAATAAAATATTAGACAGGCAAGCGCGTTTTTTACCTATAAACATTGTTGAGTGCAACTCAGAACCTTTACCACCTAAGCTTCAAGTAAAAATGAGCATCAAAGTTCAAAAGGTCNTAGACCCGCTGTCAAACCATTCATTTTATCATCACACACATTTTGGTTTCCCCTGTTTCTCGGTTTCCACTGAACAGTCAGTAATAATAGGCCATAACTTGCCCAATAAAAATTCAATTGATGAGTGATTTGAATCTTTAGAAACTAGACAGACGAGACTTTAATTTGATATATTATACGATTAATTTGACTAACTATAAACCTTTCCAATTGTAGTCGAATCACACTTTAAAAAAAATGATAAGTTATTTAAAACAATGTATGAAATGACATCATTTTAAAACGTTAAGACATTTTGACGCTAAAAAATGACACCTCAGAATAAAATTATAATGTAAAACTATATATAATTAAAATATTTAATTTGATACCTATACAATGTATGTACCTCAATAGTAGATATCAAAACATCCAATTATTCAAACAAACGCTGTGTCAAAACCAATATCATAAGCAACCCGTACAACGGGTGAGACTTTCAACTAGTTTAATTATAAGGTTCAAACCATAAAAAAAAAAATTAAAAAAAAAACTTATATAAGACAATCTCATCACCTTGTTTTAACAACATAGTTAGATCGACAAATTAAATAATATCATGTGTTGTCCCATATATATTAAATATTCTCTTTCATTAAAACGTCACCATGATTCACCAGTAACCTTCCTCTACAACACCATCACGATGGTTTTTTTTGGAAAAGAATAATGCATGTCATTGTTTTAATGGACTGTCTCACCAAATCAGCAAAATGGGATTGTAAGACTATCCTATGTCTTAAACCACTCTTTTACTTTATGTACAAGAAAACCCTAAATAAATAATTCCACAACAATATTCCTCCACAAACAAAATTCAACAACAAAATGAATTTGACACTCGGTGTTTTGATGAAGCAAGCTGCCAACCAAATTGATTGTCTAAACAAGTTTGGTCTACCAACCACCAAAAGTCTTTTAACTACACTTTTAAAATTCATCTTTTATTCAAGCAAACAAATAATGGGTATATGCCTTTTAAGCAGCTTCAAGGCACACCAAGATAACCCTTCAGTTTTACACTTCTTCAATGCATCAAAATCTTAAATACTTTTACACATGTAAATGAATATTGAGTGTATTTTTACAAAATGTGAATAAACCCAACCCCCCCCCCCCCCCCCCCCCCCCCAAAAAAAAAAAAAAAAAAAATCTCATACAAAGTGGTGTTCTTCCCTTCTCTAATGACAAAGATATTAAATTCATAAAAAGTTTTAATTTGAATATAATCATCATAGCTACTACAATTTATAATCGCACAATACCTAATCTCGCCACAAGATATCTCCATATCCCAATCAGGGCCACCAAAGAAATAAGTTTTCCGAATACTGCATGGCACTTAAGCCTGCAAGAATTCCACCATTAAAAGAAATAATGTCAAGAGTATGCACAGTGAATATTAAAGACCACATACTACCACTTGTGAAAGAGAAGGAACAAAATCATAGCAAATGAGAACCAGGAAAACAGAGTAAATTGTCATAACCTGATATAAGAGGAAATTGGTTTCTACAGGTGAAATATGTCAGTCCCGGAGGCCAAGTTCAACCTCAAGCTCATCATCCTCTTCAAACAACTTCAAAAGACGAGCATACTGCTCTTCTCTTTTCTTCCTTTGCCATAGCTTGAAAAGGAAAAAAGAAAACAAACCCACTGCCACAACTGCAAGTAAAACAATTAGTACCTTGGCCCCGGTTTTGCTATGGGAATTACCATGAGTTTTAGCTTGGTTCCCCAGTTCTGAATTCAAAGAGCCATCGGACAAGGCTGAAAAAATAACATAAAAAGAATATAAGTGAAAACTCTTATCAGAAATTGTAAATCTGATGCCAATTCAACTTAATATACTCAATGCTTATGATGGGCTTAAAGATTGCGAAACTGGGGATCATGCTTGACATGAACTTGGTAAACAGAAAATAAAGCACTGCTCCAATTCACTTCAGCCAGAAATCAGTGTTAATAAAATGAAATGTAGTCAATACAAATAAAAGCCAACCCCTAGAGGAAATAGAATAGGTGGAGTTGTGTCAGTTCTTATGTTTGGATGTTGCCTAAACATCATCCAAATCAATGGTACCTAAAATAAATCTAACCAGCTTATGCAGCAGATAGTGCATTTATCAAAAGGTTTATTCTCAAGATTCTGACTTTGGAAGACTGTAGAAGTACCTGAAAGCAACCAGAAATATAAGTATGCATATACCAAAGTATAAGGAGCATCATACTCTGAGTGGTTTATCCATGGCAATTGCTTAGAATAGGAATTTATTTTAAAGCAGTATATAAGCTTTGTATATTAGCCTTCTAAATAAAGTTGTTTGAGAACGTTCACTTAATTCCTTTAGGTGCATCTAATAACACTTTCTTCCACCACATTATTCATGCACTTATCCGCACATTACATGAAGCACTTAACAAAATAAAAACTTGAAGCTAAATGTAAAGCATGTTCAATTCGTAAAATTTCAGAAACTTCAATGAAAGTACCCCAATGGGCCCAATCCCCATGAATACGCTCCAGTGAAACCACAATTCCCCATAGCCATACCCCACAACCATCAATATTACATCACCACAACTACAGCCATAAATAATATTATCACGATTACCCCTAGCACCACCATCATAATTATAGCAATTACCCACATCACTACCATCAGCTATAACACTCAGCCATTACCACCTTTATTTTCATTTGAACGTCATATAATAGTAACTATGATACCATAAACAAGATCATATGTATTTTACATCAAAAACTCAATACGGCACAAGTCATTACAAAATTTTTATCAAACCCGATTCAAACTCAAAACAAATAAACAAGATCCCACTTCCACCTTCACCCATCACCGCCCTCAACCCTATCTCAACGCTGACACCTGTCATTTCCACTACCTCCACCAATACTAGCACCTTCATCAAAGCCACAGACAATTCATGATATTCACTGCACCTTAAATGCATAAAACGATTCAATTCATTCTGATCCCTTCCAATTTCCAAATTCTTAGCCAAATCTTACACCCAAATGACAAAAGTGTAAATTGCAGCCATCAAACAGTTCAATTCATATCTATACCTTACACAAATTCAGATTTAATTCAAATTTCCCATATTTTTCTAACAACACAGATTAATCAAATAAACAAACGAACAAAAACCACACCAGATTTGAATAATTTCAACGAGTTAATGCAAGCAAACAAAGATATAATAATTAGCTACGAAATTAATGAAAAAAAAAAAAAAACTGATTTTTTTGAAATAAATTGGAAATCGAGACGAACCGGAGAGGAATTGTAGAGAAAAGAAGAAGAATAATAGTAGAGGACGCAACGATCTTCGTCTCCAGATTTCACTCATTGCTCGCTCTGTGTGGGCAGATCGCTTGAAGCTGTCGTTTTTGAAAAAGTAAAATTTGAAACGCAAGAATATTTGTCAATGTTCTGAATGCATTTTTATGTCTTTAATACGACGTAGTTTCGCCAGTGTGCACTTTATTCTTGTTATATATTGGTCAAATAAAGCATGCGTGTTGTTTGGATTTTGAAATATAAAAATCCGAAATAATTTTTAAAAATTAAAATATATTTAATAATATTTAAAAATGAGAATATAACCCTAAGATATGAATACCGTTTGATATAATTTGAATCACCCTAAATATAAAAAATATATATTATATTCTTTTGAAATATTTCAACCAATTGAATTTTCTTTAAGTATAATATCTCAATCAAACCGCCTATGGTGGTCGGATGGTTGAATAGAAATTCTTGATGTATTATTTAAGAGATTCTGAGTTTGATTTTCTTTTATTGTTAATGAAGATGACTATTGAAGATTTATTTGTCCTTTAACTTCTGGACACCCTTATCACCCAAAAAAAAAAATATTCAATTAAACAATTATTAAAAAATATGATTATACTAAATACACTACTTAACTTCTAATCAGAGAGGGAATGAGTGTTGATAACAGGGTTGCTAACAAATACACCCCCTGAAACATCAAAAACTACCTTGCCCTCACCTTTTTTCGGACACAACAATACACACCCCCTGCCACTAGTTTTCGCTGTCAAATTAGATAGCAAATCTAACCCTGTTAATTTTTTTTTTTCAAAGATAAATATTGTTTGTGAAATAAAATAATTTCTTAAAAATGTCTAAAGAAATAAAATAAAATTACAGAAAATATTTTTGATTTAGGTGTCAGTTCAAATTTTTTTTATAATAATATCAAGTATATATATATAAGAAAAGTTAAAAAAATAAATTAGATTACACTAAAAAAATGTTTAATCTAGATGTCAATTCTAATAATTTTATATACTAATATTGATAATATATAACAGTAAAACCTCTCTATAGTTATAATAGTGGAATCAAACTAATTTATTACTATAAGGAGGTTATAACTTAATAGAGGTGTAGTTACAAAAATTATGGCTCCGTTCATTATTATGATAGTTTTTAGAATAATCTTTTGAAAAAAGTTAAATTTGGTGGGTATTACGATGTAGGATTTGAAAATTAACAAAAATATCTCCTATGTTTGTTTATTTACTAAACACCCCTATAATAAAATATTAAAAGTCAACAAAAATACCCCCAACCCATCCATTAAATACAGACAGCTGGCCACCATCGCAGGGGGTGGCCGGAGTGTTTTTGCAATTTCTAAAAAAAATATTTGAGGGTGTTTAGTTAAATTAATAAATTTAGGAGGTTTAAAAGAAATTGAAAAATATAGAATAATATTTTTGGGAATAATGACATTTTACTGTTTAACTTTTTTGGGAATACTAATAATAGTATTCACAAAAGTGAAACAAACGAAGCCTATTATTTTTTGATTTCTTATTTTATAATTCACATTTTAGTAGTATGTATTGAGATTTTAACTCATTATTTTAGTAGTATTAGTATCTCCCCCCACTTCATCACACAACTATTATTCTCTTACCTCTAGCTAGCAATTCTAAAATCCAGTCGTGTGATGTAGGCATCATTAGAAATTTCAAAGGTTATTATCGTCAATGCATTAATCACACACTTTTGAAATGGATAGAAGATCATATATTGGAATCAGAAAAAATAAGTATCCTTAATGGAATTGTAAATGCAGTTGCCACATGGTCAATTGATGTGAAGCTATAGACAATTGCCAATTGTTTTAAGCACTGCAAAATTAGAACCCCCAATGTCAATAAATTGTAAATTACAAATGAAGTAGATAAGGAGAATAAAATAGTCACTGCAGAATTGAGTGATCAAATTCGACAACTTCACTACAGTAATCAAATGGATATTAATGTTTCCTCAATCATCCAAATGAGCAATAAATCGTGTATGCTTTAATTGAAGAAGAAATTATTGCTACAATTAGACAATAAGAAAAATGAAATAATCTTAAGGATGATAGTACAGAAATGCAAAAAGTTCTGAGCCATGAAGCTCTAAACATACTTGAGAAGTTAGAAATATTTTGGCATCAACAAGAAAATGTTCATACTAGCGAGTTATTACATACCCGCAAGTTAGAATATGTGGTAACAACTGTAAAACATAAATCATTGTTCCAAATAACTTTAGATAAATATTTTATTTCATCTTAAACTTTTAATGTAACATAGAATTTTTTTTTTTTTTTGTAATATACAGACAATTATTATTATGTTAATTCAACTTTCCTTAAGACAAAGATTAGAAAAATTATAAGTTATTGTAATGTGTAATTTATTCTTATTTATAACTATCCTAGATTAATACTAGAATTTTTTATGATTATGTAGAGTTTATTCTTATATAGAGTATCACTATAGAGAGGTTTTACCGTATAAAGATCAAATTACATCAAAAAAATTTCAGTTTCCTTGTATTACAATTCTTTTTTAATAAAATTGTCCAATTATAATATATTCTATGAAGCAATAGAAATAACCAAATTTAAATCTTGAATAATATTCTTTGCCACTAAGGTTACTAATCTATCATTTTGATGTAAATAGAAAGTATAACCACAAAGGTAAATGGTAGAATAATCACACCATAAGGATAATACTAGTGACAATCTAATGTCCAATGCCTCTTCTAAAGCAGCTCATCATACATGAAATCCATCCAGTATATAAAAGATAGTAGCATAGACTAAATGGCTCAATCAACACGCTAATTAGAAGGCCCGTAATGCCGATATAAATAATCGCTTGGATGAATCATCACTTCCCCCTGCAATAGAGAATATAATAAATGCTTACAACGAAGGTATTTCTATAAATAATATCATTTTGTCTTAACTTATTTTACTTATTTTGGGAAAAGTTGAAGGAAAAGTTTAAAGCATGATCCATACTGCAACGAAAGCAAGAAAAACAACAAAAGACTGGCGGCATAATGAATTGAATGGATAAAGATTTCTTATCTAAGACACGGTCATCGCTAAAGCAATTGGAATGTATTATACGTTTGAAAGCCAAATATCACATGTTCCTAGAAATGTATCCTTAGGGTTACTTTGCTTCAAGGAGTTCATTTCCTACAAGTTACATGGTTATATGTGATTCATGCTACAAAACCGATTAACCGAACCGGTTTTTCGGTTCAATTTTCCTAAACTGAAACTAAATTGGTTAAGGGGAAAACCGATTTTTCGATTAACCGAACCGATTTTGTGAACCGAACCAGTTTTCAGTTCAATTTTCCTGAACCGAAACTAAATCAATTAAGGGGAAAACCGATTTTTCGATTAACCGAAAAACCAGTTAACCATTAGTAAAAACCGGTTTTAATTTAATATTTTTTATAATAAACCAAATTTTTTTTTAATTTTATATTTTTATAATAAACCGCTTTATAAAACCGGTTTCAGTTAACGTTCCCATATTCTCGTAAACCGTTGACCGAACTGGAAAATCGGTTTTTGTATTTCTTTAAATTGAAATTGAAATGATTTTTCAGATAATCGGAAAACCGGTTTGGTTACTGGTTTGGTTTGGTTTTTGTATTTTTTTTTAACACCCCTAATTCATGCCCCTTTAAAACCTCAGTTCAAGTCACATGCACAACAACATGCCCTCTCTTATAAGGGGAAGAAATGTTCACAAAGAGACAAGATAAGAAGAGATAATTAAAAATTGGCTGATCGGCTCATTACAAATGAAGAAACTGCATTTTGTATCTGTCCTTGATCTTGTGTAAACAAATTGCTCTGACCTTAAGTAGAAGATTATCTTATGAAATAACTTTGATTAAGTATGGCTTACAGGTTATCATATCACATATCCGACTAGACCAACAATAAATAAAATATTAGACAGGCAAGCGCGTTTTTTCCCTATAAACATTGTTGAGTGCAACTCAGAACCTTTACCACCTAAGCTTCAAGTAAAAATGAGCATCAAAGTTCAAAAGGTCCTGAATTTGACAGCTGAAACATGAATAATTGATACAGGCAAATGATATCTACTCTCATTACTGAATTTATTATCATTGAAGTTTAGATAAGTGAAGAAAATACAAGTAATATTATTCATTCCTCGTTGGAAAGTTAGCAACAAAATGACATGCTGAAACAAATGAGCCACTTGAAGAGTAGAATGATATTCTTATGTGTTTGCCAATCAAAACCCTAACCTATCATTAGAATTAGTAGCAGAATGTGTCAATGAACCAAATTAAACTTATAGAAGGCAGAAGAGCAGAATGCTTGAAAGGATATCACAGATACGAAAACTGAGCTGTTCAAAAGTTGAATCTATTTATGATTGTGTGGAGGTTCAAAAGCTAAGCATGCTAAGGAGTTATATCATAAAGGAACTAAAGCAAGAAATTGCAAAATTAAATGCTAGTAAAGACCCATCTTTTAATTTCTATTTCTTCTTTGTGTTGCGATGCTTTTTTTTCTCTTTTCAATTTTATATGGGGCAGTGACGATGGTGGGGATTTAATTGAATACTAGTAGATCCTAAATCCTTGAAAACGAAAATAATGCAAACAAATGACACAAAATAACCATACACACAAACACAAGATTTATAGTGGTTCACTTTCCATATGAGAGCTACGTTCACTTTGCCGCTGCGGAATTTCACTATGAAGAAGAAGAAGAAGAAAAGAAATTACAAGAATCTCTCACAAGCCTCACAAATTGACTCACTCACTAAACCCTCTTTAGTGGCTCTCATTCTCTAATATATTGTGGCTTTGCCTTCTATTCAATTTGTGTTTTCTAACTCTAAGACTTAACTCCTTTTTATAGTTAATACATGGGACACTATTCCTAATAGGACTCAGCCCATATCCTAATAGGAATTTTATTTTAATTCTTAATACAATTATAATCATATTCTTAAAGGAAAACAATTGTACTTAAACACATATTAGGAAAACCCATGTCCTAATCCAAGTCTAATTTGGATTGAATTTGGCTCCACAATCTCAACAGTTGCAAAAGTTT